ATATATATACATACATACTGATGAATGCTGGTTGGCTTGCCATTTATTCAAATCACGCGTTTTTTCTATTGAACTATAATTGTGATATATGAACATGCACCTGATTTTTTTTATGTCTGTCCTTTGTACTATAGAAATAAGTAAGAATCGAATACACGAATAAAATCAGTGCAGGTTATCTGGCATCATAGTTTATGTTTAACTATGCTGGCATTCATATCGGTCGTCAGCTCCGTGCTTTCAGCCCTGACAACTTTTTTGGAATAGACGTGTAAATAATATAGAAATATAATGCTTATTACCACCATTGTCGCCCATGACCGCAATTGATGATCTTCCCACTTTCCGTCGAATTTCTCTTTCAGATTATGGTAGTGTTTGTCGGCTTGTTTCTCGGTGCGGGTACGTTTTGATRAAGATCCTGAGTTGTCTTCTGAGTCAGAACTTGTGCTGAGGTYCCGTTTCTCGGCTAATAAGATTCAGTAAAACAATGCATTAAATTAGTAGCAACAAGGCCAATACTGATTTCAGCAATATTGTGTTAGAGTGTTGAGTGCTAAGAGTGTTAGGCCCCGTCCAAACCAATCCGGAAATTTTTGTATACGCAAATTATTTTTTGCGGATACGAAAATGTTTGCGTCCACACGCAGCGTATTCGAATCGTTTTCACCGTCCACACGTATCCGTTTTCGTAAAATTTGCGGATACGGACACAAAAACAAAAATTTGCGGACACATGTGAACGCAACCCGTATCCGCAAAAAAAATTTGCGGATGCAAAAATTTCCGGATACGTGGAGACAGGACCTTAGAATAGTTTTTTTTTCCATAATGCTAATTCAGCCACGCGATCTTGTGAAAAATTCCATTGTGACCAGGTACCACAAGTTTAATAAAACTACGATTTCATGCTTTGCTTTTAACTCCATAAAACCTTCCATTTGGCATTACAAGGTGGTTTTTTTCTTCAGAATGTTTAACTTAAACATGACGTTTTTTATGAGTTTCAAACGATTAGCTGATAATAGGATTACTAAAGAAGTTGTGAAAAGTTTTATTTATCAAAATGCGCGGCGTAAATTTTCTTCGACGAAGCAGCTTGTGCAAGAATTAAATACGGTGTAGAAATATCTCATAGATATAGTAGCTATATGTTATATATAAACAAAGTTCTACTCTCTTCCTTTGATATACGAGAAGTGTTTCGAAGTTTTATTCATGTAAAAACATTTTTTGTTGTGGCACGTGCACAGCAATTACTCACATTTTAAGGATTTGTCGACTGCCTTCTTCTTCTTCTTCTTCTTCTTCTTCTTCTTCTTCTCTTTACGTTTCGCTAATATTGCTTAGGAACATGAGGATCAACCCACAAACACAGCCTCCCGTTGCTGCTACTTTCATAAGCTTGTTTAAGAGTAGACTCGTCAACAATGTCGAATTTTCTGTTTCCGCGGCCCTCCACGATGTAGCCCATTTTAAAGTTATTATTTAACGCTGGTCTTATAACTTCAGGGTGTGTTTTTACAAAATAAGACTTCATTTCTTCTGGAAGTGAGAATTTTGGAACATTCTCTATGTTGAAATGTGAAAATTTAGTTTTAAGAAACTCGTCTAGAACCCTCAGATGCACTGTGAATGTCTCCATGTTTCTGGTTATTAACACACAGGTAGCCGAAGCTGGCTATTAGTGTTGGTTTACAGTCAAACTCGCCCCAGCTATTGTTTCATGGTCCAATAGCAATCGACTATGACAATACTCAAGTTAAGACATTTATTTGTTTGTTTTTTGAATTTTATTTTTTACTGTATTTTGAGGATAAATCAACACTAATAGCAAACTTAGCCTACCTGTATGAACATGACTCTGTGCGGGTCCGTGGGTAGGATATAATCGGGTAACGAGTACTTCCTTCTCATGTTGCACGTCGAAATATATCGATATATTGATATTTCGGTATCGGCCTTAATTTTTGCAAAAGGCTATACACACACACACACACACACATATATATATATAAAGGTTGCAAAGTGACAGTTCGGTTTTATTTATTTATTTATTTATTTTGGTCACATTGCAACCTTTTTCATTTTAAATGCCAGCGGATTACACCAACGGTCATTCATTTTAACTTCCCTGATGAGTGTGGTCATTGCGACCATACGAAACAGATTTGTTGCATTAAACAATGAATCAATTCCAAAAGTCTTGATTTAGTTTAAACTATATATATATATATACACTCGATTGCAGAAAATTGCAGTATACATTTATACATATATCTATTTTACTCAGTAAATTTAGCAATTCGGCGAAGTGTATATCGGGAAATATTAACCGAGACACGAGTCTTCGAGCGGCGAGGTAAATATTGCCCGATGTTCAATGCGCCTGAAGCGAATAATTGTTATAGCATATACCAACTTCTGTACAGAGTAACTTATTTTTATATACAATAATTAAATAAAATCAAACAAACAGAAACTTTACTTTTAGCAAAGCCTTTAGCAAAACTGATAGGCCAGTACTTCGTTGCCTTTTTAGTATTGATAGGAGTGGCATTTACTTTCATTTTTACAATTTCTCATCGAAAATTGTAGCAAAACGATTGCCGCCAGATGCCATTTTGTTCCCGACTCAATATTCTGAGATTCAGAGGTGAATTTCGTACAATATTCAACTCCAATTAACCAATGAGCGCGCGCGTTCTTAGGTAGTACACAAGTTGGTATATGCTAATCACAGGGAGCCCAATTTAGATAATAGTGAATGCTGAAAATAAAATCGGAAAAATTAAATAATTAATAATTTTTTAAAATTCGAAATCAAGATAATGTCCTCCGTAATGCGAAAGAGTAAAAATATTAATAAAAAAGTGCAGTAGAACTTTTTTTTTCGCGCGCGCCTTTGTTTTCCTATACAATTTTCCTATTGTATCTGATGTTGATCTTATGTATATATACTCTGACAAGGGAGGAAACTTCAGTCGCCATATTTGAACAAACAACTCACTTTGAACCACGATTTGATCGTTTTTTAAACCTCGAACTCCACAAAAAACTTGATCAAAATGATCCCTACGATGGGGGATTCATTTATTTAAAACTCTTTTGGCTCTTCCTCCAAGATTTCTATGGGTGAAATT